CAAATCGCACTCCCGCTACGCGGTCGTGCGATTTTGTAATCGCGCGTTTGATTTCAGACCAAATTGCACTCCACTCAGTTCAATTACCATTATTAATCAACGTTATCACAAAAAGTAACTTGAATATTTGAAAAAAATAGCAAGGAACTAATGCAATAATTTTCATTTGTTGATTTTAAAATATTCAGTGTTTCTTGACATGACTGAATAAAGATAAAAAAAGATCATATGAACGTCTTGTTTTGTAACTTATCTAGTTGTACCTGGTGTTARATTGCCACATACCACTCCAGCATCGCGGCTGTGATCACATCCACTAGTACTACCCCAGCCACCATGATGACACTGGTCAACAGTTTCTTCGTATCCTAAGTAACGAAGCCCTTTAAGCCATATAGGACCAGTTCCTTTGACGCTAAAACTCGTTGCTGTTGTAACTGCCTTGGAGTAATTCAACATGTGACACACCACGTAAGCATCCCATATGCCCCAGTGTATATCATTGCATATGGTTCCCCAAGTACCTTTGTATCTTACTTCTACACGTCCCTCGTTAGGAGTCTTACCGTCCACTAGGCGAACATTGACGTTTATTGCATTGCCACATACCACTCCAGCATCACGACTGTGATCACATCCACCAGTGTTACCCCAGCCTTAATGCCAACACTGATCAATAGATTCTTGAGATCCGGTGCAATAAAGCCTTTTAAGCCATATAGAACCAGTTCCTTTGACGCTAGCAGTTGTTGCTGTAACTGCCTTGGAGTAATTCAACATGTGACACACCACGTAAGCATCCCATATGTCCCAGTAACTATTACATATGGTACCCCAAGTACCTTTGTATCTTACTTCAACACGTCCCTCGTTAGGAGTCTTTCCATCCACTAGACAAACAGCTACCTTAGACTTTGCTTCTGTAACAATACACAGAAACGTGCTAGCTTAAGAGTCTTTCTGTTTTCATTTTTAAGTGAGGTTTAAATCATGCATAGTTGTTTTTTACTTTAACTTGGAGTACGCTACGTTGTACCGACTTTGACTATCGTCTACATTACGCCAGACAGTATTAATAGACACTTTTTGATTGGCAGTAATGTTTGCTAATTTCAAATCATGTCATTTTTTTGGGAATAAGATTCTTTACTTGAATGCACCGTCTCATATTTATGTGTACAGTATTCTCATGCGCAAACATTATAAAGAAATAATGTAATGGCAAAGCATTACACCATTACGAACTTGCAAGTCGTGGTTGGTTGAACAAAATCGTTGGCCCCCATTTTCTATTTCAATATTTTTTAAAGAATTAGATAAGTTGTCAATGTAGCAAATTTGGTAAAAAGTTGATGGTAAATTCAAAATGAAAACACRTATTTGGATAAAAACTTCAAAGAGTTACCGAATGTTTCATGGTGGCGGCAAGTTTAAGTCAAGATTTGCAAGTTGACAATATAAAACCAAAAATATTGGTATGCAATGCGCCATTTTCTCTGCCAGGTAAAATGGCGGGTTGAATTTGAAGGTCAAGTTTTAGAATGCAGTTTTATCATATTGGTCTTGTTATTCCTGCTGGATGATTTGAGACCACATTATTTACGGCCACATTATGCTTTCCGTGAGATTTCAAAAATTGTGATGGCTACCAGATGAACGACCGAAAAGTCATAATGTTACAATTAGGATCTCTCTAAAAAATACAGCTACTTAATTGCTATGGAATGAAAGTAAGAAACTTTGGTAAACTTTTGAGCACTTTTGCATAGCAAATTTGCAATGATGCAAAATTTTTGCTCCATATTAAAGATCTTGGAAGTACTTCGAGAGCGACAAACAATGTAAACAATAACATAGTCACGCAGTGCATTGTGGTTGACTAGGATTCTTTAATGCTCGACTTATGGATTCCACGTAAGCTGTAATTGACGGGTTGTTTTACCACAAAAAGCTGTAGCTGCATTTTTATATTATCTCTCTCCTAAGTGA